TTGCGAGGTTGACATTTTTAATTGAATCCACGAAATCGAATGTGTCGCGGAGGTTGTGTCTCGACAACTTTTCTTTCACTGGTCCAAGAATTTCTACCAGCCACTTCGCGATTAGGTGATATGGCGAATTGATCATATCTAATATTGGGCGGAGTGGGACGTCCTTTTTGTGCACTTTGGGTAGTCCATACATTCGTGGCGATGTAGAACCAGATGGGCGAAGTTTTTCATATAGTTCTGTATTGATAATCGATTCATCTTTCATTTTTTTCAATAAGTTGGTTAGCTGGAGCTCCGTCTGTTCAGTTGGATCTTTTTGGATCGTCTGTTTTTGAAATTTGCTGTCATCAGATAGAATTGACGAGAGTTTCTTCACATAGTCTGACTTGTTAAGCAGAACAATTCCAGAACCTTTGTCTGGTCGAGTTATTATCAGGTTTTCATTTGATTTCAATTCTTTGAGTTGCTTTCGATGTTCTTTTGAAAGCCTATTGCGAAGTCTAGGTTTTTTGTTGATGTAGTCGAGGCAGCAATTCAAAACAGTTGATTTGAAGTGTTCTGCACTTTCATATGAAATTGGGACTAGATCATTCGTCTGACTAATCAAATTCTCGAATTGTACTTTGGTGTTCAATTCATTTACTTTTGATGATGCATCACAAAATTTTGGTCCGAGCGACAACAGTTGCATTTGAATCGGTGAAAGTGAGACGTCAGAAAAATTGAATACATATTTCTCGGGACAAGATGGGAAAGCTGTTTCCTTGGTGACTGATTTTAGGCTTTGTTTAAGTTTCATGATGATATTTTCCTTTCTCTTCTCTGAGACTGTATTGGCGTAGTGTTCGAATGACGCCCGTTCATCAACAGTTAAATCATAAAGAACGTGGGAGCTCATTGAGACGTTTTGTTCCAGTTCAGCTAATCTGGATCGAACGGCATCAATGTGATTCTGGGTGTGTCTTCTGAGCGTGCGTGAATTAGGAGATATATGGTTTCGTCTCAGATTTTTCCAGAATGCTTTCGGGTATTCATGTTTATCCAGACAGCTCTTCCAGAAGGAAATCTTCGCATTCGCTTCAGCAAGCTTGACGGACAAACGTAGGAACTTGTTCAGTTCCTTTACTGTCGAACGGTCTTTGCTCGTTTTCAAATCACGGAATATACACATTTGATCATAGGGAATAAAAAGACAGTTGCAGCGAAGAAAATTTTCTTTTCGACGAAGTCCTTCTGGAAAAGCTGTCTGGATAAACATGAATACCCGAAAGCATTCTGGAAAAAATCTGAGACGAAACCATATATCTCCTAATTCACGCACGCTCAGAAGACACACCCAGAATCACATTGATGCCGTTCGATCCAGATTAGCTGAACTGGGACAAAACGTCTCAATGAGCTCCCACGTTCTTTATGATTTAACTGTTGATGAACGGGCGTCATTCGAACACTACGCCAATACAGTCTCAGAGAAGAGAAAGGAAAATATCATCATGAAACTTAAACAAAGCCTAAAATCAGTCACCAAGGAAACAGCTTTCCCATCTTGTCCCGAGAAATATGTATTCAATTTTTCTGATGTCTCACTTTCACCGATTCAAATGCAACTGTTGTCGCTCGGACCAAAATTTTGTGATGCATCATCAAAAGTAAATGAATTGAACACCAAAGTACAATTCGAGAATTTGATTAGTCAGACGAATGATCTAGTCCCAATTTCATATGACAGTGCAGAACACTTCAAATCAACTGTTTTGAATTGCTGCCTCGACTACATCAACAAAAAACCTAGACTTCGTAATATGCTTTCAAAAGAACATCGAAAGCAACTCAAAGAATTGAAATCAAATGAAAACCTGATAATAACTCGACCAGACAAAGGTTCTGGAATTGTTCTGCTTAACAAGTCAGACTATGTGAAGAAACTCTCGTCAATTCTATCTGATGACAGCAAATTTCAAAAACAGACGACCCAAAAAGATCCAACTGAACAGACGGAGCTCCAGCTAACCAACTTATTGAAAAAAATGAAAGATGAATCGATTATCAATACAGAACTATATGAAAAACTTCGCCCATCTGGTTCTACATCGCCACGAATGTATGGACTACCCAAAGTGCACAAAAAGGACGTCCCACTCCGCCCAATATTAGATATGATCAATTCGCCATATCACCTAATCGCGAAGTGGCTGGTAGAAATTCTTGGACCAGTGAAAGAAAAGTTGTCGAGATACAACCTCCGCGACACATTCGATTTCGTGGATTCAATTAAAAATGTCAACCTCGCAAATAAAAAGATGGTCTCCCTAGACGTCGTCTCTCTGTTCACTATATGCTTTCTGTGTGACTTCATCCAATGCAACAGCATAGATGTCGGCATACCGATGCATTATCTAAAGGAGCTGTTACTACGCTGCACCTTCAACGTCTACTTCAGATTCAACAATGAAATCTAAAGGCAAACAGATGGCGTAGCAATGGGTTCTCCACTCGGACCACTCCTAGCCGACTGTTTTATGGCCAGCCTCGAAAACAACCCCTTATCACCAACTATCGACGGCCTTCATCTTTACAAGAGATACATTGATGATACTTTCATCATTTGTGATGAGAAGCTAGACCTTGAAAACCTACTCCAAATCTTCAACAACGCCCACCCAAACATCGACTTTACACTTGAAACCGAATCCGACGGAGTGTTCCACTTCCTGGACATCCATCTGACAAGAAATGACAACGACTCTTTGAAAAGGTCCATATACAAAAAGCCTACATGGACTGGACAATTCATCAACTTTCAAAGCTTCGTACCGCTAAGCAGAAAGAGGAACCTGATACACACTCTTTCCTCGAGGATTCGGAAGATATGCAGCGAGGAAGTAATCGAAGAAGAACTGCGTAATCTCCGGAAAACCCTGATGGAAAACGGTTTCCCGCCCAGGTTCATAGACAAGAATCTCAAACCTAAGAAGACTTCTGAACAAGTCCAATCCGTCCCAAAGAAAATACTTCTGCTTAATCTAGAATTCAAAGGTGATATCGAGGCGGAAATCCTTCGCAAACGCCTCTCCAAACCGCCGAGGAAAACATACTTCGCCGCAAGCCTACGACTGACGTTTTCCTGCAAGAAACTGTTCAACCAGAACGCGAAAGACAAGCTGTCGCATTGGGCCACCTCAACATGCATATACTAGTTCACTTGCTCTTGTGGAGCTGAGTACATCGGCCGTACCATGCGCCAACTTGGAAAACGCACTCGTGAACACTACCCAGCCTGGCTGGTAAAAGGAGAGCAAAAACGTGTATACAGTTCAGTGACAGAACATCTGGTCAACTCAGGACATTCAGCGCCTTTCGAAAAGTCCTTCAAAGTAATATACAAAAGTCAATCAAACCTGTCAAAGGGAGTGAAATCAAGACATTTGGGCATAGCTGAGGCGTTAGCTATCCAAAAACTCAAATTTAATTTTAATTTCATTTAATTTAATTTTCATTACAGCTTGATTCCACACCGTATTTTCAGTACAAGTGTGGAATTTTCAGCATGGATATCGGTAGCCCAAATTTACAGGCCGACCATAGATATCGGGTGTGCGCCGGCAGGGGATTGAACCCCGGACCATGTGCATGGTCGGCGAGAGTCTTAACCACTGTGCCACCCTTTGTGTCCAAAAGAAATACATCCAACCCCTGTCCCTGCCATGGCCATCGTAAACAGGTAAATTTTTTAATAATGACCATCCCATCGCCTTTCTTATCTAAACTTCCTGTTTATTCATGTTATTATATTATTTCTACATATTTAATCCCTGATCGCATAAACAATCATTCATCATAGTAGTTACTTGTCCAAACATCCTGTATATTTTTTATTTTTACATATCTAACCCCTAATTGCACAATGTCAATTTTCTTAGTTATTATGCTACTTTGTTAGAGTTTTACCCATCCCCCTGTTTATTATAGCATTCTATTTCTTAATTGTAATTTTTATTAATTTCTTTTTTAACAACTGTTTGTGATAACTCATCACCTTTGTTACTACATTAATTTCATTAAGACTTAATTTTCTTGACTGATTTTGTATTCCGTAACTCCAATTACCAATCTTCACCTGTTTAGTTAAAATAACCACAACCAATTGTATTTTTGTTTGACAAACTTAATGTACACATGCATACAAAATAATATATATTTGCGATTGTACAGCTAAGAAAATCAGTCAGTCGAAAAGAGACTCTTCGTTGATCTACGTGTTTTGTTTTCATTAATGCCTGGATGGGGATAATACATGAAATACCCTTCACCCTACCACGCCACTTCATAAGTTGACCACCTCTCGGCTTTTTCTATGTAATATCCAGGACTAGCGAACAGAGACCGGTACAAGAGCTCCTGGGATGACAGTCTTAGCACAAATCGAAGTTGTCGAAGCCAGTATTTCCATATGACAACGCTCAATGAATGGTAACCTCCACCGTGTCCAAACACACGCCACTGGACCTCAGGATTACTTACACAATGACTGCATAGGACACAAGCAATCCTACTTAGATGGTGACTATCAAATACGTGGAGTCACCACACATCCTTAGCTCGGAGAAGTCGAGTTTCACAAGCGTTGAGCTACAATGCTGACACCGAAACATTTTAAACCCTCTATTTGACTGCCACGTTGACGGCACCAGAGATAGCCCAAGATGGTGTATACTTCTGTGGCTTCCACTATACGAATAGAGTTTTCAACCATCACTCACACAACTACCTAACTACTTAAACTTATCGACTACTTCAAGCGGAGTTCAGTTTCAGACTCCTGCCACTATTGCAACGGTACTTTGCACTTGGCGCAAAGCATACGCCCCATACCTATAGACAATAAACATCAGCTGAAAAAGATACATATATTTTCTTTTTACTAGTTACACTTATTGTAAGATATATATATATATATACATATAGTCACATTGTTTCTATTGTCAAAATTTCTATTTTAGCCAATATTAATTCCGATGGATTTGTCAGTGATCAAATTGTTATTGGTACACCGGGTACAATTGCAAACTGGTTTCGTGGTACAGGACAATATCGTATTGATCCTACTAAAATAGTCATGTTTGTATTAGACGAAGCTGATATTATGATTGAAGAAGAAGGCTTCCTGAATATTTGTATGCGAGTTAAAACGTAAGTTTATTATTTGTGGATTCATTTTCTTGCTTGTTTTTTTCATACTTGATTTATTAAAGTAAAAACTTCATATATTATGGGCATCAAAAGATATGTTATACAAAATATCATTGTTTATGCGAGGGCTAGGATACTGGATAGACGCCCACCACATTAAAGAAGACAGCTGTCTCAAGGGACCATCACACCGAGTCCTTTGACTTCAAGTCTGATCCACAAGGCAGTAGAGCAATGCAACGAGCTGTGTTCCCATCATCTCCGATAAGTAGAACAGGTCCAGACAATATTCGATCTGCTCGGATGGATTTTGGAGTCCATGTACACAAGTTTTCGAATCAGGGTTTTCCAACTCCCCTAGATGGACTAACAGATTTACTAGTCTGGTTGTAAGCGCCATATGTTCGCATTCACCGTTTAACTTTTGTAAGAACACTCGAATCGACGCATGGAGTCGTTGAATTCGAGCTACCTGGCATAGGCTATAAACGTGTGGCCACATGAGAGCATTTCGAGAGAAATACTGAAGGCTACCGACTCTAGGTCGTACCTGGACGTTGATGGGGATGTGCATAACTGTAAGAAACTAGTGTCTAGAAAATGGTGGTCCCTATTTAGTTTTCTTAATGTTCGCTGATATATTAAAAGTTTAATTTCATACATTTGGTTCCCTTGATAAATTTCGATAGAGAAAGAAAGACCAGATTTGCAGTATAAAATGATATCATTCTATTTCATAGGTCCTCATCAGCTGCAAACTACCTGAAATTACAATGGTTATAAATAATAACATTTCATACTTCATTGTTTGAAAGGTAATACAGAAAGCATTATAAGATAAACGCATCCGGAATATAAGGATTAAAATTTTTTGTAGTTTAAGTTACCATCAATTTATATACTATCAAACTATGAAAAAAGGAAGAGAAAGGGGGTGAGAGATGACAGAAAACAGAAAAATCTAATAAACAGTGTCAACATGGTAACTCAACAAGGTCAAAGTTCATCAATTTGAAAACTTGCTTAGTGAGTTGAACTCACTAGTGTTTATGAGTAATCAGTGTAATGAAAGTGATATGGTTAGCAAGGGAGTGAGAGATTGACTACACTCTCTTTCTGTGTGCATAAGTTTGGTCTGAGACGTTTGATTGCAATTGCTTCAGCAAATCGTAGTAGATTCGCTGTCCTTTGTATGTTTAATATTTTGAAGGATTTGGAAATCTCAACAAAATGGCCCGTATCCACAAGGTGTCTAGTAATTGCACTTTGTAAATATTTGCTTCCTTTTAAGCATAAGTTTCTCGGAATATGCTCTGAAAACTGGATAGAAGCCCTTCTTTCTGTCCTTCCGATGTACTTGCTGCCGCAGGTGCACGTAAATTTATAAATGCAGTTGGAGGTAACATCAGCAGAGTACTTATCCAGTTCAAATTGATGAACTTTGACCTTGTTGAGTTACCATGTTGACACTGTTTATTAGATTTTTCTGTTTTCTGTCATCTCTCACCCCCTTTCTCTTCCTTTTTTCATAGTTTGATAGTATATAAATTGATGGTAACTTAAACTACAAAAAATTTTAATCCTTATATTCCGGATGCGTTTATCTTATAATGCTTTCTGTATTACCTTTCAAACAATGAAGTATGAAATGTTATTATTTATAACCATTGTAATTTCAGGTAGTTTGCAGCTGATGAGAACCTATGAAATAGAATGATATCATTTTATACTGCAAATCTGGTCTTTCTTTCTCTATCGAAAAGTTTAATTGTCTTGAGTTCATTAGGCCATATGTATATATCCTTATTTCCTCTCCCTCCTCTTTGAATTGATTACCGAATATTTGTCTGTTCCTGTATATTCTACTAACTGAAGGAATGAATCCTCTTTTTCACTTAAGCAATGTTTTATAATTTGTATTTAATATCTTCGCAGCAGATTTAAATCAGATGATGAGGATAAGACATGTAATATGCACACCTACGCATCAAATACCCCCAATGGACAGTGTTCACTGAAGTAGAATTGAGGTACAGGGACGATGAAACTAATTTACTGAATGTTGGTCAATTTTGTAGAGTGGTGTATATGTATTATTATTATTATTATTACATTAGTAATTCTTTGTGTTCTTGGTGGGATTTATATATGACTTCACTGCTACACCTCCATTCCACTCGGTTCTTTGTAATCACTTTCAACTGGCTGCACAACCGTGCAGAAGCTTTCATTCCCTTCTCACACGTTATCTTTTATACCATTCAGGCTTAGACACCCGATTCGCTTCAACTTATTCGGATTTCACTCAACAGCCTGGTGTGTGATAGATACCACATTGATGTCTCTTCAGCGTATGTCCAATCCACCTCCATTTTCTTGTACATATATGTTGGGTAATAGGTTGTTAGCACTTCCAACAGACTGCTGCAGACTTTTATCAACAGCTGTCCACTTCGCTCCACACCAAAAGTAATTAGCAACAAGAAACTCTGGAAATAAACCAACCAAGAAGCTGTTGCTGTACAACTATGTGGAGGAAAATGGTCGGTCGGTTTTCGACATAGAACTTTGCACATATGTGCGGCAGTTCAAGTCGCCACACTCCCTCCATGTAGCACACAAAGCAAGAGAAGAAAGTAAACAAGAAATGCATAATATGGACAGGAAACAGAGGTGTGAGACAAAGGAATAGTAATAACGGAAATCATAAGTCACAAGGAGTGGATGCATCTGCGCCACAGAACGATTTTGAGCCATGTCACCGATAGTTTCCAACCATTGGTTTTTACCGTCCCGAGGACCCCAACCAGTCAGGAAGTCTACATCTTCCTACGTGGCTTAAACTAACTGTTGTAGATTTCATTGACTGGTGCCATGTTTTCGTTTGACCGCCACCACCTCTTTTCCAGTCTGGCCCTATATCAGCTAACATTGCCCGTCAGTCGAGGAAGGCGATGACTAGGCATACGTAACACATGTCCTAACCATCTCAGTCGATATAATTTCACAGTCTCGTCGACTGATTTCCCCTCCTTACCTAGCACTCGACTGATGGTCTAACCTCAATATTGCTCACCTTATTATGCCACTTCACACGGGAGATAGAACGCAGACACCTATGATCGAACACAGATAATCTTTTTATGTCTTCTGCTCTCAATGGCCAGGTCTCACAGCCATAAAGGAGGACGGAGCGGACTGATGAGCAGTACACACGCCCTTTGGTTGATAGTCGGATATCGTGTCTACGCCAGAGACGGCGTAAACTGACATATGCGAAACTAGGCTTTTGTATTCGTGCTGAGATTTCGTCGGAGATCAACCCGTTGGCGCTGATGGTACTTCCCAAGTAAGTGAAGCGGTCAACGTGCTCTACCACTTCACTTCCTATTTCTAATCTAGGGGTCGGTGAAGTCCAATCCTGCAGCATCATCTTACATTTTACATGGGCGAATCGCATGCCAAACATTCTTAGATTGCAGCTCAAGGTGTTCAGAAGACTTGAGCACTGTAAGATGATGCTGCAGGATTGGACTTCACCGACCCCTAGATTAGAAATAGGAAGTGAAGTGGTAGAGCACGTTGACCGCTTCAATTACTTGGGACTTGTTTCCCTTCTTGTATGTCGGGATGATCAGTGACTTACACCAACCCGATGGGACTTCCTCTGATTCCCAGACGCTGCCTAGAACCTCAGTTAACGCAGACAGTAAACTGTCTCCACCGTACTTAAATACCTCTGGAGTCAATCCATCAGGAGGAAATGGAGATGGACCGGACACACGCTGAGGAGACCGTTGGGTGACATCGCAAGTTAGCTATACCTTCGATTAGAACCCGAATGGGAGACGAAGCATTAGGCGTCCGAGGATAGCATGGAGGAGACCGTATGAAGAGGGTACGAGAGCCAATGAGCAATCGTGGGGACAGCTAAGGAGGACTTCAGACAACAGGATGAAATGGAGATGTACTGTTGAAGCTGTGTGTCCCACTTGGATTCCAATGGAATATTAATAATAATAAAAAGTTCGTTAGCTGTTTCCCTGCTGGAGTTCCTTTTTGCTTATCTTTTCCGGCTGACTATCATCTGATCTTTACTATCATCATCAAGCTAAGGAAATAGGTGTTCACGAAAGTCTGCAAATTATTGAGGATGTTTCTGGTAACACACGTGCAAAATCCCTGCTCCAAATAACAAATGCGTCATCGACTTGACATCAGTTTTAAAATTTCGTATATTTTTCCTTGTGATTACCGTAGTTCTTCACACTGATTTTAGAGTAGGGAATGCCTCTTCTCTTGGTTTCTTCATCCTATCTGGCTTTGACATCATCAATCAGGGCGAAACGTAAACTAGCGTAGGTCCTGTGATCTCTCTCTCTCTACAAGAGAAGAATACAGTTAACTATGGCTCAAAGTGTATCTAAGTTACACAAAGGTATTCGCACTTTGTTTTTCATTCTCATGATGACATCTCATTCCTCTTCTCATTTGTTTTACAAAAATTTAGGACTTTTTCCCATTCTGTAACTTACTAGGTTATATATATGTAGGATTATTTTTGTCCTACAGATTTAGTCCTTCCTCAATACTGACGACACAGAGTCTTGGCTTTACTATAGTTAAAACAGAATAACTTGACTTAAACTTTATCTGTTTCTAAAACATAAAATAAATCATAAAATTACACCAAGAAAAATGTACAAATCCACCGTCATTACAAAAAACGGACAAAAACGTACCGAACAGTATTGAGGGTACGGACAAAATGAACAGTCAATTAATTACATGTATACAAAAATAGAGTGACAGACAAAAAAGAACATTCAAGGTCACCATCACGTGGTGTGAGTTACATTAATTGGCCAATAATCGCGACAAAAAGGTCACATAATGTTGATTGGCTATTTATCATACAGTCTATCTATCTGTCCCGATTAACACTCCCCGCGAACGATCACCACGTCGACCTTTCGTACGCTTCTTATATCTTGTTCCAC